AGCAGGAGGAGGAGGAGGTGGAGGAGGAGGAGGAGGAGCAGGAAGGGGCGATGGAAGAGGTAGAGGAGGAGGAGGGGGGGGCGGCTGAGGAGCCGGAGGGGGGCGAGGAGGCGGAGGAGGAGGAGGAGGCGGAGGTGGTCGTGTCGCTCTCCGAGTTCAGCGGCTACTTGACGCGTGGCGGTGGCAGACGAGACGACGGAGCGAGCGAGCCCGAAACTCTCCTCTCTGTCCGGTCGGGCGACCTCGCGCGGGGAGATTGCAATCTCAGGGCCCTCGGAGCCTCCGTTCCGTTCAAGCCGCCGCTGCCACCTCCGTCGTCGCCACCGCCGCCAACGCCCTCTCTTGCCCCGCCGCCGCCACCGCCGCTGCCGTTTCAGCAGCAGCCGCAGCAGCGGTGGCGGCAGCAGCAGCAGCAGCAGCAGCAGATGGCGCGGCAGCTGGCGCAGCAGCCGCCGCAGCAGCAGCAACCGCAGCCGCAGCAGCAGCCGCAGCCGCAGCAGCAGCAGCAGCAGCTGGCGCAGCAGCCGCAGCCGCACTGGCATTGGGTGTCCTACACCGAGACGGCGGCGGCGGAGGAGCGGCGGCAGGCGCATGACGGAGAGTGGTACAGCAGGCTCGAGATTCGCCGAGATTCGCCGAGATTCGTCGAGATTCGCCGAGATTCGCCGAGATTCGCCGAGATTCGTCGAGATTCGCCGAGATTCGCCGAGATTCGCCGAGATTCGCCGAGATTCGCCGAGATTCGCCGAGATTCGCCGACGCGAGCGGTACAGTAGGCCCGACTTCCGTCGAGTATTACGGCTTCCTAGACACTTCCCTGTGGACTATTCCTAGACAGTTCCCAGACTGAGAGATTGGTGCAGCAGATCCAACTTGGCGCTACGGCTTTCTTTCAGCGCGTTCAATGTCTCGTGAGCTGCTTCCGCAGGTCGGAGTTCGTCGAGTACTACGGCGGAACCGCCGAGTGGGACCGAGCGGGAGATCGCAATCTCCTGGCGGGAGATCGCAATCTCCTGGCGGGAGGTTTCAATTTCCTGGCGGGAGATCCCAATCTCCTGGCGGGAGATTCCAACGGCCATTTTGGCTCACGGCTCAAGGACTCTCTCCCTCGGAGGAAGCATCGGCATTAATTAACAGTTAATCAACAGTTAATTAATCATTAATTAGGACTATCTCCCTCGGAGGAAGCATCGGAACCAGCCAAAGCCGTGCTACGAGTGGCGCGACAGCGGGCAGTGCAGCAAGGGCGCCGCTTGCAGGCGCGCGGAAGACCTCCCCCTCTCTCCCCATCTCTCCCCATCTCTCCCCATCTCTCCCCGCTTGCGGTCGAGCCAGAGAGGAATCAAGGAGTTAATTGACTAATTAGCCGCCTGCAGGCAATCGCATTCGGCAGAGCTTAAGTAATTAATTGACTAATTGAGTAATGAACTAACAAGTTGATTGCAGGTACTCCCATGCGGTCGAGCCTCCGCACACGCGTTTCGCGCGGCCGGCGGCGGCGGCCGGGGTAGGAACGGCGGCGGCGGCGGGGGCGGCGGCGGCGGCAGGAACGGCGGGGGCGGCAGGAACGGCGGCGGGGGCGGCGGCGGCGGCGGCGGGGACGGCGGCGGCGGCGGAGGCGGGAACAGCAGGAACGGAAGGAACGGCGGCGGCGGTGCACGCGGCGGTTGTTGCGTCGGCCGGGGCTGCAAGCCGAGAAGGCAACGGTGGTGCGGAGGGGGGCAGCGTCGTGTCCGTCGCGAACTTGCCGTGGTCTGCGACGGACGAGCAGGTCCGGGGGAGATATGGGGAGATATGGGCTCGCCGACCCTAGAAGCGGAGATCTGGGGGAGATATGGGGAGATATGGGGAGATATGGGGAGATATGGGCTCGCCGACCCTAGAAGTGGAGATCTGGGGGAGATATGGGCAAGTAATGAAGAAGTTAGTTCGCTTAGTTGATGAGATTAAACAACTACCGAGCAGGCCCGGGCGGCCTTGATTACGTAACGAGTTCTCTCATAACGGCCTTCATTGATTCACGAGTTCATTCATCACCTAATGAATCAAGCGACGGGCAGGTCCGGGCGGCTTTTGCCGGCTGCGGCGAGATCACGGAGGTCGAGTGCAGGACAGAGCACCTGCGGGGGGCGAGACGCCCTAGAAGCGGAATCTCCCCCCCTATCTCGCCGTATCTCCCCGTATCTCCCCGTATCTCCCCGTATCTCCCCGTATCTCCCCGTGTCTCCCCGTATC